TCCCTTTGGTCAGCATTTGGCAATTGTGTGCGCATACTTTTTGTGACAACTGTACGTAACTATCTATGCGTCCCCTCGCCTAGTGTGTGTCAAAAACTTGAGCAGTGCCTTGTTGAATTGCAATTTCTATTTTCTATGCATCTTATGTGGCTCTCAGAAACCTTCAACTTATCATTCAGTTCGCTTATCTATAGCAGCAACAGCAGCAGCAGCAGTTGCCAGCCGAACCATACAATGGGCTTATTTGTAGTTTACTTATATTCTTCTTCTTCAGTTTGGGTTGAATTTGTATATTTGAAGCTACGGAAATTCGTTACGAATTCGAAAACTAGAAGCAGCAGCTGCCAGCTTTTGAAATGATTTGTATTATGCTTTTGGATTTATTTAATAAATAATATATAATATTTTTGTATTTGATCTACTCCTAGGACAAGTTAGTATGAAAAGAAACTGAAAGGGCATAAAGAAAACTTTTGGTAAATATTTATTTTGATTTTTTTGAGCTGCTTGGGAGTTTATTGTGAAATTTATTCTTTCAGAATTCTCATAAATCATTGACTTTTATATTGAAATACTTTTTCAGTTTGAATTTTGAATTATAAAAAAATAAAGTTTTATTTAAGATATAAAAGCATCTTAAATAAAACTGAGCTTGCTCAAAGTAAATAAGCGAGTATTCTAACACTCTAATAACTAATATATTTAATTATTTTTAATTATTTACATCTGGTGAAAATCAGTTTGAAAGTGATCAAAGAGAAATTCATGAACAAAAGGATCTCGTTCTTATAAAATCTTATTTATTGTTAATAAATAATTAAGTTGTATACGTAAAATGCTCTTTTTATATCGCTGTAAATCATCTTAAAATCATTAAATAATTCAGAAATTTGATGTCATATATGTAATATAGTTATATTTAAAAAAAGGATAAAGCTTTTGCAGACTTTTCTCTTTTCATTTTCATTTAGATTTATTTTTATTTATTATATAATTTATTTTTCAAATAAATAAATCAATAATTAATCATTTCTGTCTAAAGCGTTAATATATTTTATCGTTATTAATGCACAAATGCGAAAGACAGCTGCCGAAGCGCATTAAAATATTATCAACAAATTTTCATTTCACTTAGTTTGCGATCGAGAAACAAATTCTCTGAGAGACAATCGAAAACATGGCCAGTGAACCAGGCTAATTTAATAAGTCAAACGCAGTATAAACATCCAAATAAACACACGCACACACATACACTCTCTGAGTGACACGCACAACAATATTTTTCCAATTGAACTGATGCCATTTAATGAAAATCAACACTTCCGCTTTGCTAGACATCAACGAATATGAAACGAAGAACATGCCACAATTACAACATGTGTGTGTGTGTGTGTTTATGTAAGTGTAACGAGCTACAAATGCTTACCGCAAAATGTATATTTGCATTTATATTTGTTGTACTCGTCGTGTTGTCATTTCATTGCAAAAAGCAGACGTGACACATTCGCCTCAAACTGCCTCAAGTTCATGCCGCTTTTCGGCTCCCCTCAATCTTCTCTTGACACAGCCATCCATAACATGATTATCATCAGAGAGGAGAGGCAGGTTCTACAGAATGTTGTGCCATGGGCTAAACAAAACATGAGACTTATATGGAAATGATAGAGAGTGAAATAATTAGAACGAAATAAATAAAATTGTTATTATATTTTATTTTTTCGTCTAATTTTTAAAAATGAATCAAATTATTTAAGTAATTTTATATAATTTGTATTATTCTTTATATATTATTATATTTTATTTTTTTCATCTAATTTTTAAAAATGAATCAAATTATTTAAATAATTTGTATTATTCTTTATATATTAATATTTCTACTAAAAAATAAAATAAATGAATATTTTTTATTAACTTGATTTAATTTTTATTAATATATAGATAATGAAGGTTGAACTAAATTTAAGTTTATTTAAATTCAAGTTTAGTTTATATTATTTCCAATTTTGAGAAGATTTTTAAACTAAACTCAAATATCCCTTATTTCAATAGTTGTATAATTAATAAATTATAAAATGATATGATCATAGCTATTATTATTCTTATTTTATAATAAATATATAAATGAAATAGAAACAGATCCAATATAATAATATTTCATAGAATAAATAAAAATAATCTTTGAAATATATTTATTTCTGTCCAGCCTTCGCTCAGCTCTCTTTGCAACAATAACAATGTCTGCGATGCATATCGTAGCGCATCAAATGAACCTAAATAGCCAAACCCTCAACTAACTAAGTTCGGCTCGTAGTAACAAATATTATAGAACAAAATTACCATGAATAACTGTCATTTGGCTGCTGTCAGTGTCGCGTTGTTGTTTGGCTCCAAGTCGTGCACATTACATGGGAACGTGTATGGGTGTATGGACCGCAGGACATCATGTCTAGGGAGCCGAGGTGGGGCCTTACAAGCAGGTCAGTTGGCATCGTCGGTACATGACCAAGCGGTCACGTTCACATTGTATGACCGGGACGTGCAATTTTTAGCTGGACACAAGCAATGGCCTGGGACAAGGACATTGCGCAATAAGCACAAGTTTTATGCAATAAAATTAGCCCAAAAAACAGAAACGCACATACAGATCCTGAAGAAGAACAAGTACAGGAACAGAACACACGCAGAACTTTGCTTCTCCTGACTGGCTGATAAGATAATTTTATTTGGCCGTTATTGCATAAAGTCATGTGAGATGCTGCGGAAATGAGTTGAACTGAAGTAAAGCGTTACGTGACAGTTAGCCGTGGTCGGATACGTGCGCCAGCGGATTAGCAAGGGGCATCGCACTGAGCGGCGCCGGAGGAGGAGGTGTAAATGGATTCTAATAAGATAATTGACTTGTTTGCGGATAGATCTAAGTGCCAGTTAAATTCCAACTAAACTGAAGGTCGCAATGTTGGGAAGGGCTGGTGGAAATCGAAGTTTAAGAAGATTACAACTTAAGACTATTAATGTTGTACTATGTGTTCTTGCAGGATATCAAAGTCACTGGATTCCCTGATTCGAGACTTCTGCCTCTTATATTCATTCCAATAATATCTTATTCTACTTTACTTTCCAAGAATAATATGGGATTAGAAAAACAAGTCAGCTCAGTAAAACCAACCCTTTGTAAATGTGTACAGGATATACAAATATATATACTATCTATATTATATATATATATATACTGTATCACTATTCTTTATCTTTAAGAACTGTGGATTTGAACTTACTTTTATATTCCCCAATCGTTGTAGGGTATTCGCTCAAAATATTCTTTTCGGTCACCTCCCGGTATCCGCATATCATATTTGATAATCAAAGTGTGTCAGCGCCACATATTCCTCGCCGCTTAAAGAAAAACAAAATAAATAAAATAAAACATCAAACAGTTTCCTGCTGACCTTTTAACTTTGTCGAATCCACCTGATAACTGTTTATTCCAACAAAGCTGATGCCGTCAAAAAAAGAAGAAAACAAACTAAGCAGCGCAAAAATTAGGCAAAAGCTAACGGGAGCTGGGCACTGGATCATTACGCACTCAAACAGCACTAAATCGCGTATAAATACACGCATACATACAAACATACATACATGCATACAGACATAAATACATATATATGTATGTATATGCCTTGCCACAGGCCTTTTGCACAATTTTCATTTAACTAACTAGCGATGGTTATTATGAATTCCTAACTAACTTCGCAACTTACCTTTTCACTAATAACAATTGATGCTTGAATATTAATTTTTGTTTAAGTTGTATACATTTCAAAGCGCAATAAGCACATTTATATTTGTCACTCTGTATAAATGCAAAAACAAAAAAAGAAATGCTAGTTGCGATCACAGCGAAGTCACTGGAACAACTGAAGAGACGTTGAAAACGCGGAACAAACTCTTGGATTTCACAAAGACAATGAGGGGCATTGAACCAATGAGGCGCACAAAAACAAAGGCCAGCCACACAGCAATTAAGGCGAAATGATGGGCATTTAAAAAAGCAAGAGAACAAAAAATAAGAGCAATGGCTTATATGAGACAAATGGACGAAAATTCAAAGCAAATTGAGATTACGCAAGAAAAGATAACAGAGCGAATCGAACCAAGCTAGGATTATCACTTCACTTTGCCACTCATTCACATTGAAAATTATATATTTAAATTGATAATAATAAATGGGAAATAAATAATACTGTATAAGCATTAAACAATAAGTAAGTGAGTTCGTTATTGAACAACACATATGCACGTGCCGACGCTGCGATCAAAGAGGAGATACTAGAACAACTAAGAAAACGAGAACTAAGAGAACATAACAGGCAAGGGGTTCTGCCCTTGACAACAAAGAGAAGAGAGCATGCGGCGAAAGAACTTAACGAAAGGAACTTAACGAAATAGACAAACAACAGATAAGGAAATGAACTACAGTCAACTCGAGTTGTAAATGTTTTAGTCCATTCAATTGGCGACCTTGAAAATTGAGTACTTGAATAGGGATAACAATAGATATTAAATATATGTATATGTATACTTAGTTACTTTATTTTATATGCAAATAAATTTCATTTAATAAGTATATGCTAAAATTATGGTCTTATTTTCTTATTTCATATACATATACACATGCATGTATGTAATTAAAAGCAAACGGTAATGTTCTGCTCTCTGCGTGACTTGGCATTGCCTATTAGTTCTTTGATGCACTTATCTAACTGTTGCTGCCTGGAAAGCGTATACGCACTTCGTTATAGCTCTGCCTTTGAGTTGCTGTCTATTTATTTTTGCTCATTTTTGTTGTTGTTGCTGTGCCGAGCGTTTTGCTGGTATTTCACAAGTGACCGCACACAGAAAAATATTTTGCCACACCCGAGGCGACGCGCACGCCGTCCAACAACCACAATGGAAACAGCAACAACAACAACAACAATAATACGCTGTGTAGGAGGGTGGTTTCAAGTGCCGCCAGAGCACTTAATACTAATTAGCTTTGCGCCTATGCCGTGACCTACGACCTGACGTCCCAGCATTTCCGTACGGATTCGGTGCCAATCTGTGCTGCGTTTAAGTGGCCGCAGCACGCAGAAAGCGGTTAGCGAAGGGCGCAGGGCGGCGTTGGGTGTGGATTTGGGGGGTTTGGCACTGTTGCGGCTAGCGTTGGCCGGGTTAACAGCTACGGGGCGTCATTTTTATGAGCTAATTAAGTTGTTAGACTTGATGAAAAACTCATTTGCGGCGGGGTTTTTCTTAGCTGAGGCATCGGCAGCCAACCAAATTCCGTTGCATATCTAATTTGCATTAATTAAGAGCAAGAAAGCTAAAAAAATGTGGCTGAGATATGATGTTTCTATACCCTGTTCATAAAATTGATTTGGGGTATATTGGGGAGGGTATGAAGGTGAGGAAGTTAGAAGTGTATAAGCCCGTGAATGACTATAAATAAACCATATTTAAATTATTTCTATATTGATTTGTGCAGCGAGCGAGTATTTAGGCAGTCTATATTTCATTTGTGCGCTTTAAGCATCGATCTTTAATCATTGGCCAATAAATTAATATTCTGGCAACTAATTGGCTGACAATTTACATTTATTGACAGCCTGTCGACTGTCAACTGTCAACTTGGCCAACAGCGGGCAACAGCCAAAGTCTTGGCCAACACTTTTAACGCCCATTGCGAGCAATTGCAAGAATTTTATGCGACTAGTTCTGTAATTTGTTCGCCTGCTCCAAGTTTCACCCGAGCAATTGAAATGAAAAGCGTAACTTTTTAATAGACAAAAAAAAAAAAAAAAAGAAAAAGAAGAAATAGAAGAGAAAAGCAAAATACTTGAGAAACACCCAAAATTTTCGGTTGCCGAGCAAACTTTTCGAATTATGACTGGTAGCAATGGAACTGCCAAGTTTTGTCAACGATTTTATGGTAATTGCTTAGTTTTTTCTCTCTACTTTGACTTCTTTCAAGGCCAATATTTTGAAGAGTATTTCAATAATAAGATTAATATGTTGTTAATTAATACAAAATAAATGGTTTTTGGTTCCAAACTTAGGAACATATGTATTTCATATGTATTTCATAAGAATTAAAAAAAAACGTTATAAAAATTTGTCTGTTTTCTTGTAAGTCAAATAATAATTCGAATTATGATTAATTGTTATAAAAAAAAAATATGTAAAAAATAAAAAAGTGCGGACTTACATAAATTTAAAGTTATAATTACATACTAAATATTTGTATAAATGTTTTATAAGTGAGAACTTAAGAAAATATAATATAAACAAATAAGAAAGCTCAAGTGGAGGTGCCCGAATAAAAGATACTCTGATCCCAGTCCTATTTGGGCTTTTTAATATTTTCAATAATTTGCATTCAGTTTAAAAAATAAACACATTTTATATTCTATTGGAGTAATTGCGAGTAAGCTTTTATTTATTTTTATTTCTTTATTGAAATTTGAAAAATTGAAATTACAAATCGAAAATGGAAAATGGCTAAACAAAAATATTAAAGCATTGTTGACTCAGGCAGACCTTGGTCTGATCATCATCTGTGTAGATTTAAGCGGTTTCGTAGTCCAGTTATTCCAAGCTATTTTGTTTCTAACATCTTCTGTTGTATATCGTCCGTTTAAGTTACTGAAATAGTCAACAGATCAATAGGATTCACAATTTAAATAGCTTTTTCGCTTTTACCAGTTACCGCATTCATGAAACCACCATCCAGATTCATACCATATCGCACAGTTACCTTTAGCTGTATCGTTATCACGATCTTTTGTTGAAAATTTCATGTTCAAATGAAACTGAAGGGGATCTCCAGCATTTCCTGAATAATCGCCAACCTTTATTATATTGTACGATTCTTCTTCGCTTCCAATAAGGAAATCGCTGTATCGGGCATATCGAATTTCATTATTGAAGTCCTCTAATTGAATATACAACTCATGCGGCTGCGATTGCGTAAGCAAATGAATCTTCTCCAATCCTATGAAATATTCATGTTGCAAGTCTCCAAAGCCTGCCTTGTATTCCTCCCAGTTTCTGTTGAAGTCCTCAGTCCCATCCATCCTACGTTGAATCACGATCCAACCAGATCCCGCTATCTTGAAGTCGCAGGGCACGAGGAATGGCTCGATGTGGGGCAACTTAATTATAGATGCGATCGATTTGCCTAGGCAGTTAGATCCTTCTAAGATTTTCATATATTCTGTTTGCTTCGTTTCTAGATCATTTATCTTCGCCCCATCTGCAGTACTTTTAAGTTCAAGATCCGATATTCTAAGATCTTTTTCCTTTATCAAAGACTTAAGTCTTAGTATTTCCTTATCCTTTTCATTCTCCATCTCATTCTTCTTAGCCTTGTAGCTATTGATAAGCTCATTCTGAAGAGCCAATTCCTTATCCCTGACTTCAATTAACTGAAGTTGAGAAGCCAATTGCTTATCTTTGGCTTCAGTCAACTGAAGCTGAAGAGCCAATTGCTTATCCGTTGACTCCAGATTTACATTCACCTGTTTATCTTTGGACTTAAGTAATTCAAGCTTAAGAGCCAATTGCTTATCCTTGGCTTCAATTAGTTGAAGCTGAAGAGCCAATTGCTTATCCTTGGTTTCAATCAACTGAATCTTGGCATCCAATTCTTTGTCTTTAAGCTCAATTGTTTTCTGTTGATCTGCTATAGTCTGAATATATTCGTCAACTTTAAGTTGTTTTTCTGCTAGAGACTTCTCCTTCACGAGCATAGATGAGGCGTGTTGAAGAAGGGGCTTCAGAACTGTGTAGCAGTACTTACTGCACTGCATATCTAATTCTCTCTTAGCCTTGCACTCCTTTAATAGTTATTATTGAACATTAATGTGTATGAGTGATAGGCAAATACTTACAGGACTTTCCATTGCCACGCAGCTCAAAGTTGATATCAATATCATGAACATGCAACAGATCTTGATGTATTTTTCCATTCTGAATAAATCAGAATTTGCAACTGTTTCACAATTGAATTTATTTCGAACTGATCCAAGCTCTCCACTCATCCCACTAACGAAACGTTGTATTTCGCAGCTTATAATTTCTTATCAATCTTACAAGAGTCAGCAGTCAGTGGCCTTATCAAGGAGGAACTTCTGGCACACGACAATAGCAATTTGTTATATATATGATTGGCTAAGGCAAAGGCTATGCTTATCACTTTCAGATGATTATTTCAGGAATATATTCTGCAAAAGAAAACACATATATTTAATTGAGAGCACGTCAATGAGCTGTAATTACCTTGCTTTCACCGTCTCGGCAACGAGCGTCGCCTCTATCAACAATGCCACTGCACTGGCTATGCAATAAGTTGCGATTTGAGCTTAAGCAGCAGCTGATAATTCAATCACAATTCAATCGCAATTTCGATTCGTGGAATTGACGCATTTGAATGTATAGCAAAAATGCGTGCGCTTGGCGTTGCCTGACTTTATATGGACTGCCACGCCTCCTTCTGCCTGTTACATACATTTGCACAAAAACCATTATACACTGATTTCCCATTTTGAATGGGATCAGGGTATAAGAAAATGAAACATGAAATAAACTTTTCTAATTAAGAAAATATTAAATAATAAACATGAAATATATTGTTTTTAATAATTATTTTTTTTATTAATATTTGGTTTTATTTTTCTATATTTATTTTTAATTTCATTTTCATTTTTAATATAAAAAAAAATTAATTAAATTAATTAAAATTAAACTTACATATTTAATAGTTAAAAGTAAAATTTTAAATAGTTTTTTATTAATTAATAAAAATTTATGATATTTCTAGTTTAATTAAAATTATCTATTTCTGACTTATGTTAAAAATTAAAGCTTATTTATGTCCATATTTTTTTATATGTATTTAATAATTGTAGAAAATTGATTGAGAGCTAAAAGTAAAATGCAAAAATAATGGCTAAATTATCAAGCTAAATGCTAAGCTTCTTTGTAGCCAAGAAACAATTGCTCCTTTGGGCACAATTCAGGCTAAATAATTGACGAGGATTTTGAGCCAAGGCCAAGCAAGAAATTCTTTTTGTTTTCTCCTTTGTGTTGACGCTTTTGACGTCTCAATGAATGTCAATTCATTTGCGGACCGGGCAAATCAAGCTACGATTAATCATGGCCTGCATGACATAATTATATATAGAATATATATGTATATATGTATAACTTTTGAGCCATTGACAGGCGTCCAAGAGCTGCCTCGTGTAATGCTTATGTAATGAATATGTTTTGGTTAAAGTTTTCCTTTTCGGTTGTTGGCAAACTTTTGGGCAAAAGAAGAGAAAAAGTGTTACCTTATTGAGGAGCTGCTTAGCGGACTTTGTCGTGATAAATTATGTTAATAATGTTGCCAAAGAAAGTTGAGCGTGGCGAAAGTTTCACCCACAGCCACGGCCACAGCTCATCCCAGTCGACGCTTGTCAAGAGTCAGGACACACGCAACCAAGTGGCTGGCGGCTCTCGGCTGTCGGCTGTTGGCTTTCCTCCACCCACCCATAACATTGTGTGCATCTCATATTGAGTGGTCTCCCTAAGTAGTTGGCCACCAAGTCGATGCGATGCGCACACACTTTATTAATTCACTTAGCAAAGTGTAATCCTATCACGTCAATAAGATTATGGTTTTAAGAGAGAATCTTTAATATTTTTCTTGTTGCCACGACGCAACGACTTCGAAATATCCAAGCCGGGTATATGCTTTTCATATTAAATAATTGACAAAAATTGAGGCGTGTTTCAAATTTATTTACAGTTCGAATTCTATCGCCTGTCTAAATACTCTAAATTCTAGAGATTATTCTCCTTACTCTTAGCACAACTCATATACTTTTTAGAAGCTAGAGCTATCAAATTTTGTAGTTAGGCTCTCATTGGGCATATCTATAGATGTCAAGTGCGACTTTTAAGACATTGTCTTAATAGAAACAAACAAATACAGCACGCTTAGGGTACCATCAAGTCGGGCATTTCCTGACGCTTGCTTGTTGTTGTTGTTGGCATTTATGGAAATGTCTGTGGCTGGCACTTGGCTTCAGCTTCGACTTTGCCTTTGGCAGTCAACGTCATGCATAACAATGACTTGTGCGGTGGCAACTTTGGCCACGGATCCCATTCAGTTTGAAGTTTTTGCGCCAATTTTAATGCCAGCATGTGTAAACGTTTCCCACATCCAACTGTAGCTGTTCGGCTCGAGCTGCCTCCTTGCTGTTTGCTTTTATGATTATTAAAATCTGGCATATGTTCTCGGCGCATCTTTCACGCATTCGGCGAGCTGTGAACATGTACATATAAACATGGATTACAATATCATTCACACGCTCTTTAGGTAAATATTATTGTTTTAAAAGATATACGCATCTAGAAAACTTAAGGATTCCGAGAGTAAGTTCAACTCATGTATAGCAGAACCACATAAAATGGTTTCACAATTGGCCCAATAAAACAAGATCAAAAAGTTAAAAGTGCTCTAGTCGAGAGTGCTCTACTAGAAAGTATCCTGATGATTCTGTTAAATGTAGCCAAAATCTAAATATATACAAAATCTGTGTATTCTGCATCCTAGGCTTCGGGATACATTAAATTAATTAAACTATGGAAATAGATGCATTCTGAAGCTTTATTAATCAACCGGAATTTTATACAAAAACATTAAAGCGCTTTAAAAGACTTTGGTCTGATCATCATTTGTGCAGACTTAAGCGACTTCTGACCCCAGGCATGCCAAGCTATTTTCATACCATTTTGGCCAACGTCTTCGGCTGTAAATCGTCCGTTTAAGTTACTGAAATAGTCAACAGATCAATAGGCTACAAGAATTCAAATCCCTTTTATCGCTTTTACCAGTGACTGCATTCATAAAACCACCATCCAGATTCGTACATTAACGCACAGTTACCTTCAGCTGTATCGTTATCACGATCTTTTGTTGAAAATTTCATGTTTAAATGCAACTTAAGGGAATCTCCAGCATTTCCCGAAAAATCGCCAACCTTTATTATCTTATACGATTCTTCTTCGCTTCCAATAAGGAAATCGCTGTATCGGGCATATCGGGTTTCATTATTGAAGTCCTCTAATTGAATATACAATTCATGCGGCTGCGATTGCGTAAGCAAATGCATCTTCTCCAATCCTATAAAATATTCATGTTGCAAGTCGCCAAAGCCTGCCTTGTATTCCTCCCAGTTTCTGTTGAAGTCTTCAGTCCCATCTATCCTACGTTGAATCACGATCCAACCAGATCCCGCTATCTTGAAGTCGCAGGGCACGAGGAATGGCTCGATGTGTGGCAACTTAATTATAGATGCGATCGATTTGCCTAGGCAGTTAGATCCTTCTAAGATTTTCATATATTCTGTTTGCTTCGTTTGTAGATCATTTATCTTCGCCCCATCTGCAGTACTTTTAAGTTCAAGATCCGATATTCTAAGATCTTTTTCCTTTATCAAAGACTTAAGTCTTAGTATTTCCTTATCCTTTTCATTCTCCATCTCATTCTTCTTAGCCTTGTAGCTATTGATAAGCTCATTCTGAAGAGCCAATTCCTTATCCCTGACTTCAATTAACTGAAGTTGAGAAGCCAATTGCTTATCTTTGGCTTCAGTCAACTGAAGCTGAAGAGCCAATTGCTTATCCGTTGACTCCAGATTTACATTCACCTGTTTATCTTTGGACTTAAGTAATTCAAGCTTAAGAGCCAATTGCTTATCCTTGGCTTCAATTAGTTGAAGCTGAAGAGCCAATTGCTTATCCTTGGTTTCAATCAACTGAAGGTTGGCAGCCAATTCTTTGTCTTTAAGCTCAATTTTTTTCTGTTGATCTGCTATAGTCTGAATATATTCGTCAACTTTAAGTTGTTTTTCTGCTAGAGACTTCTCCTTCGTGAACACAGATGAGGCGTGTTGAAGAAGGGGCTTCACAACTGTGTAGCAGTACTTACTGCACTGCGTATCTAATTCTCTCTTAGCCTTGCACTCCTTTAATAGTTATTATTGAACATTAATGTGTATGAGTGATAGGCAAATACTTACAGGACTTTCCATTGCCACGCAGCTCAAAGTTAATATCAATATCATGAACATGCAACAGATCTTGATGTATTTTTCCATTCTGAATAAATCAGAGTTTGCAACTGTTTCACAATTGAATTTATTTCGAACTGATTCAAGCTCTTCACTCATCTCATTAACGAAACCTCGTATTTCGCAGCTTATAATTTCTTATCAATTTCTCAAACGTCAATTGACGTCAACAGCCAGACGAGTTATTAAGTTATTAATAATATTTAACAGATTGAAGTCATATGTGATAGGAGTTTGACTAATAGCAATTTTGTCTATTTATACGCAAATATGTAAGCATATTCAGTTGACAGCAGGTCAGGGAGTAAATTTAATATTAATAATCGGAATGACCTGATACACAGTAATTATTCCAAAAAATATTTTTTTAGATTTATTATTATTTCGTTTCGCTTATTATTTTTATAATTTTGTTAATAATATAAATTAATATGAAACACATATTTGATTTTCTTCTTTTCTTTACGAATGTCATATTGATGGCATTTATTGAAAACGCTCTTAAATCACCTGACGGCAGCTCGCTTGAATGATTTATGGGGGCGCCCCTGACGCTGGGTGCGTTGGCAGCGCGCACATATGTTTGCCATTGCCAATTTTCCATTTTAAATGCGAGCTAATTTATTAGCAGCCATCGGTGTTCGGATCGAAGCGTCCAGGCACCTTGCACAATGTTTGTAATAAATGTCACACTTGCCGTGGCGCACCAAAATTATTGCAACGCATTTGTTATACGCTAAAAAAAATAAAACAAGAGCAAAATGAAAAGAAACCACGAACAAAACAGGGAAAATAAATAATTAAATAAAAACATACAAATGCGATAAATAAAAATGATTTTTAATTAA